GTCCAAGAATTTGTTGGATAGTCTGTGCCCCGCTGTGTTATTTTCCCAACATATATCCGGATAGTTGAAGTCCCCTCAAATGTTTGAATCTTGGTCTGTCAGTTCTCTTCTGTCAATAATAACGAAAATCCATTTTATAATCAAGGTAAGACATGAAGGGTGTGCTTCATTGTGCTTAAATGGCACCTCTTGGTTGGCTGGACACTTGGCCATAATGCTCATTGAATTGTAGTGAGGAGGATGCTTTTATGCTTAAGGTGTAATTTTAAAGACAGGTATATTGTTATTAGGCTGCATCAGTTATTGCTATGTGTGGCTAAAGGTGACGCTGCTTTCTGATATTATATCTTTTGTGGCTTTAAATAATTTTCAAAGGTGCTTAGCGATTGTGAAAGGCATCTTTTTATTATTTTTATGCATTTAAATATTTAAACAAAAATAAATGTACTTGAGACAAGAAATTAAGACTTTTCACTGCATATTATGATTTGCCTATTGTGTAACTTAAAATATATGGATTTTTTTTTTACCTTTACAGGGTCTTATGCTTAAAGGATGGGTGTACTGTACATCTGACAAACAGCATGCTATTAAGAAATCTATCAAATACTTAGACGAAGGGATCCAAGACACCACCGATATATTTGGGATGATGGGAAAGGTATAGTTAATTCTTGGGGGTTTTTTAACTCTATTTTATACTTTTCTTCTTACTTCACTCATTGTCATTGGACTTCATTTTTGACAGAGAGGACACAGGACAACTTCCTTTTCCTGTGCCCACTCATACCATTGTTGACTCCTAGGTTGCTTTCCAGAAATATATAGCCTGTTTTCAAAGGGATTTAGGCACCTAAAGATGCAAATAGGAGCCTTGTAAGATTTTCAAAAGTGCCTAAGCAGGTTTGGTGCCTAACTCCCATTAACTTCCAGCTCCTCCCTTGCTAGTCCTGACCATGAAAGTAAGAAGGGACTGGGAGATGCTGGGGTCCAGTTCTCTAAAACTGGTGAGTCTTGTGATGACTATGTAGGGAGGGCTGGGAGGCCCTGAATTTAATCCCCCTTCTTGTTGGCTCCAGTTGCCACAAAAATAAGTGATCTGGATCTTTTGCTGGTTCAAATAATGAAGCAGATGATAATTAGCTACCAATTTAATGATATTCCATTAGCATATTAGTACAATCTGCCACTTTTCTGAATCAATGAGATTGTTTTTCTTTCTTTTTTTTCCCCTCCATAGGCAAGATATTTCATGATGCAACAGAACTATTCAGGTGCTCTGGAAGTAGTTAACCAAATAATAGTCAATTTTTCTGGTTTCATACCTGCATTTATCCTCAAGATGAGGCTATTTTTAACTCAGCAAGACTGGGAGCAAACTTTAGAAACTGCACTAAGGTAGGGATGATAAAAACCAAACAAATCCAGAACAGACTAAGATATGTAATTTTGTTTCTAAATTCTACTACATGCCTCTATAAAGTTGTTACACATATATTTGTAAAGTTAAGAGTATATTTCTTCTTCAGATTCATTTCCTCAAAATACATTTAACTACTTAAAATATTTTAAGCAATTGTCTTCCATGAGGTCCCAGAATAATTTTTCCTGATATTAAGCACAGTTTCATAGTAACTGAAATGTGTGTCCCTGGGACAGTATTTGTTACTTATATCAGAGTGTAAATTCTCAGATTATGTCTACATAGCAAAAAACCCTACCTATCAGTGTCTCAGAGCTCAGGTCAACTGTCTTAGGCTTGTAGGGCCTGTGATATGGGGCTGAAAATAGCCATGTAGACATTCACGCTCAGGATGCAGCCGTGGGCTCTAAGCTCTTCCTCTCTTGACAGATCTCAGAGCCTGGGCTCCAGCCTGAGACCGAATGTCTACTCAGATATTTTTAGCCCTGTGAGCTCAAATCAATTTGATCTGGGCTCTGAAACTCACTGTCTGAAACTTTGCTGTGTAGATGTACCCTTGGATACTTTAGAGCCACAGTTTTTCCTACCCCTACTTTCCCTTTTTACCACAATTAGAAATGTAGAAATGTATCATTTATGAAGCTTTCACTCAATGACTAGATTATCTTTCAACATCAGAGAACACGCTGAATCTATTAAAAAATAACTGTATGTACTGTATTCTGTTTTGCTTTGTAAAACTTGTATGCGACTTACATATAATAATTATTGTTTAAGAATCCTGAGCAAAGATGAGACCAATATAGATGGACTTCAAGCTAGTATTGTAAATGAGCTTTCAAGAACTGGAAACTTGAATGCAGTGAGTATTCTATATTTACTAGTATTTGAAGTATAAAGCTGAGGCCTTGATTTTTTTGTGATCCTTAAAGACCTCATGGTACTTTTTCAAGAGAAGTGGTATGAAGAGGTTCTAATCCTAGAAGACATCCCAACACTCCATGACTCCCAAACCATCCTCTGTCACCATCAGAGCATAGCCCTATCTCTCCAATATCAATATTATGCTTTCATTCACACTTGATGCTGGAATGTAGTCTTCAAAGCTCACCTGCATCAATCCTATCTTTAGATTCCTTCCAGATTTCTGAAGTGCAAGGGATGGACTAGATGGCCTTCTAGAGGTGCATTTTAGCTTAAGTGGTTCTGTGATTCTAAGAGCAATAAGAGGAAATGTAGTTGGTGGAAAGGCACGTGAGCCAGTTTATGGTTAGTATCCTAAACTGTTATAAATGTACGCTGTAAATCACAATGCTAATTTACTTAGCCAAGTAATTTCTGCAGTTAGAATAGAATTCATCCAGCAGCACAATAGTGATGGAAGTCTGTAACAGAACATTCGTAATTCTCCTGTAGAACAGAAGTACAGGGAGAGTTCACATCATTTTCATGTGACGTAGCTGGTGTAGGCTATGGAGTAGGGGTTGGAGTAGGCCGATGAAGAGGCAGAGGAGAGGTCAATGGGTTCATGATTATGAAGCCCATGGGCTTGAGTAGCAGCCACTGAGCCCTGTATTTTGCCTGCTGTCTTGATAAAGGATTCTATACTCCATCCCAACAGTCTACTCAGACTTTGTTTGGGTCATGAATTTTACCCTGTGTACCATTCAAAGGACTCTTGTGTAAAGAATGGTAGTATTATCTGAATTATTCTCTCTAATTTTGAAATAAATTCATTAGTTCATTAAATATTTTTTTCTGCAGGCATCATTTCAACTTAGAGATTTTATTCATTCTTTGGAGACTAAAGAACCTCATAATGCAGACTTACATCTTCGAAAAATCCTTGTGGTCAGTAGATTGGTAAGCATGTTTGTTTGTTTAAAAACTGATAGTAATTATGCATCTGTGGAAGCAACTACATAGTTGCAGGTGTGACTAGTTTTCCATTATAAACTTACAAACTTAAGGGTACCGTCTGACTTTTCTGCAGAGTTCATAAAATCTACAATGCTAAGAAGTTTGCAGGCATCAATTTGAAGAAATGTCTCAAGCGGAAAACCGAGATTCATTAGTTAGCATAGTGTTATCTGGCATAGCTGTTATCTAGACTATGTCATTCACATACTCAGAGAATTTCACAGGAAATAGTTACACATAACAGAAAAACCAGCATTTTTCCTTGACAATTTCTACCCATACCTAGAACTCAATTATTCTGGCTTTGTTATAGGTGAAGTGGATTCACCCTTGATATTGGAGACAAGCTCTATGAATGATACATATTATGTTTGGCCACCCATTGGATATTCCTCAGAAATGAAATCTCAGCCCCGTTGACTTCAGTGGAGCCATGATTTCACTCCAAATATTCTATTTACTGCTTGGTATTCCAAGACAGTGGGTCTATTTTATTTTTAACTATTTTGTAGATTTGCTATATTTAAGTACTTATTTCCCCCCGTTTTATCTTGACTGAATTGGAATTTTTTGTAAAATGTCTGTTTCTTTATATTCTGAACATTGTTCAGTAGTCCATGTGAATTTTGTTACTTTCAGTGTGGGAAGAATCAACAAATCTTGCAGCTAATATATGGATTTATTGAACGCTCTTATACAAAATTAAAGTCTTCAGATGCATGTTTTGCTAACGAGCTGGGATATCAACTAATTCTTCAGGGGAAGTGGAAAGATGCTTCTGTGTGGTATAGAAGAGCAATGGAGCTGGATGAAAGCAGTGTAGATGCTCTAACAGGTAGGGTTGGGTTGGTTATTTTAAGAGAACTGTGATAATTTTAAGGTCTTTGGGGCAGAGAATCTGCCTTCCTTTGTGTTTGGAAAGTGTTAGCACATTGTGGATACTATTGGAAACAAATACCAATAATATTTCAACACACCAGCTAGTTCAGCTTCTTTTTTTATTAATAGATGTAATATCTGAATGCAACTGGGTTTGATCTATGTTTTTGGTTTTCCTTTTTTGCATTAACATTTGTATTTTTACATACACTCATATATATGGAGTATGTGGGCCAGATCCTTGGGCTGGGCTTAGTCCCTTTTGCACTGCTTCAGTGGCACAAAAGGGATTTATAACTGCCCTAAAAGGGTAGGTGGGGGATTCTTCTACCAAAGGGGAAAATTTGATATTACAAGCCCATAAGGTCTTTTGTATGTTTGCATAGATACAAATGTCATCCACACCATAAAAATCTGAAAACAAGTCATCCCTATCTACTGACTGCAATATAGTTTTCAAATGTGCAGGAGTTTTATGAACTTATAGTCTATGAAGGCCTTTACTCATCACTTCAATCACAGCTTGTGTTCACATCCACTGAATCTCCTCATAAAGTCTCTGTTTATTATGCTTCTCACAGTGTTTCTCCTTCTCCTGGTAGCTGTACAGTATCTGCAACTTCTGCATTTCTAAGCGCAACCTTTTCAGTTCCAACTGTTGGTGCCATTGTCGCTCATGCATTCTTGCATCTGGGCACTACCTTCCATACTCCTGAATAGCTTTACCTGGACCTGAGAGCTTTTCTGGTTTTGGCCTTGTGGCATCTTCCTCAAGGCACCCAGACCTGTGAGCCACTGTGTTCCCCAGGGCCTCAGCAAGTAAGAGCTTTGCTGCTGCTAAGCTGTGTGTCAGCCTCCTGACTCTGCCTTGCAAGCAAACTCTTCAAGACTATGCCAGTCTAAAATCTTGCCTTGCACTTTCCTGTCCCTGTTGGGCAGATTTTAACAGGAACAGCAAAAGGCACATCCCTGACACAAAGGCCTGCCCCTTGCCAGATTTCAAGTCCCTGTTCCAGAGCACAAGCAAGAGCTTCTCAAAGAAAAGATTGCTAGGATTTTTTAACATTGAGAAAACAACATATTTTTCCTAGTTTTCATCTTAGAAATTGTTGAAATTTAAATTTTGAAAAAAATTCAACTTGAGGCAAACACCCAGAGTGGAAAATTTCAGCCCAAGTAGTTAAATTTGGCAAAGTTATAAGCAACTGAAAACAAGTCTTAAATTGGGAAGTGTCGGACAGCCTTAATAATGGGCGGAGCTAGAAGTCCCACTTATAATGCTCTTTACTTACAAGACTGCAACTCTAACAAAGATTCATATGAATCTATGAATCTTTGTTAGAGTTGCAGTCTTGTAAGTGCTGCAAATCTCAAAAAAAAAAAAGGCATGCCTACGGCCCAATATTGCAATGTACGAATAGCTCCTTTATCACTGAAATCAACGTCAGTTGAGGGCACATAACACTTAGTACCTTGCAAGATTGGGCACTTCATAGGCCTCAGTTCAGCAAAGCACTTAAACATTTATTTAACTTTAAACACATTTAAAAATTCCACTGAAGCTAAGATTCAAGCAAATGCCTAAAGTTAAGGACATGCTAAAGTGTTTTTGATGATTAGTGATAGATTGTTCAGTTTGGATAATAATGTGGAGTATAGATCAATTTAACATTTTTTTTATCAATTTAGAAATAACTTCTTTGGGTATTTGCCCACATGGACCGTGCTATAGGTGCCCCATGCACACAAGATCAGATTTGTTCAGCAGTGGCCTCTAGGTCTGCACTTGTGCCCTGCATGTCCTCAAGCTCCTCACCCAAGGGCATAAAGGATGGAGAGGGCCCATCTGCCACTCAGTTCCTTCTTATGACCTGTGGCAGCGAGATGGAACTTCCTCAGTGTCCTGTGCTACCCCATAGCTGTATCTTTCTTATTCTTCTGACCATTAGTGTTAGTTCTTATAGTTATTAGTACCTAGTTAGGCCATTGGCTCTTTTAACAAAGGTGGGGGAAATTTTAGTTCCTCAAGTTATCTTGGTACTATATGTAGGTATCATCCCTGTGGTGGAAGCTATGTCTCCAAATTTTAAAATCTTTCTAGCCAGTGTGGCAGACATCCCCTTAAATGAGCGTATGTTAAGTGTGTTTCTGGCTTTGGTGAGGGATGCGTCCCTGAAAAATATTTGATCTGTAGATTTTTTTCAAATGTCACCTAATAGGCTGGAGACACCTGATTGAAATTATTTTTGTTAAAATGCTAAATAAAAGGTGTGCCTGGTTCTGAGACCCCTTTGTAAAAAGAACCTCCTGTTGCTTCAAAACTATTTAGCCAGTGGTCCTGGATCCTGAGTCTCCTTGGACTCGAAGAGACCTGGCACCTCAACAGAGTCTACTGACATCATCACACAGATCCCCTTGGGTCAGTCAATTGCTCCTCCTGGCCATGGTAGGAAAGAGAACTGCTCTATGACTGTGTCCTGGCACCAATCACCATCGCCAGTTTATAGATATGCGTCTTGATTCAAAGTCAGCAAGGGTTTGTCTCCCTCAAGTGTGGTTTGACACCATGAGTCATCTTATATCAGATCTTAAGATTCAGCCAAGGACATCACTAAAAAAGTCTGTCTCAGACTTCTGGGTCATGTAACCTCTTGCACATACATGATACTGCCATGTTGTGTCTGTCCACTCCAACAATTACTAAAGTTAGTCTATCAGCCAAACAGATGGCGTGAATCTGCAAGTAGTGATTACTGAGAATATCCTGTCATCACTACTCTGGTGGAAGGATCCACTAAATGTCTACTAGGTGTGATGCCTGTGTCTCCAACTCCCAAAATGCTCCTCTGATGGACACCTCCAAATAGGGCCAGGGGGACACATCTGGCTCATCTACAGACACAAGGACTGTGGTCCCTGGCAGAATCTCAACTACATATAATCATACTAGAACTCAGGGCAATTTGTCTAGCTCACAACGCATATCTACCTCTTATGCAGGTATGGCATGTAAATTGACATATCACAGAACCAACATGTGATTCTACACCTGAAAGCATCATCTTTGTATCTGACAGCTTGAACATTAGCTGGCTAATATTAGAAGATGAATACCGCTCTACAGCAGTTATGACTTTCTCATTCAGAGCAGAAAGCCTTCAACAAGGCTTATTACTGTGGCCAAGTGGAAGAGGTTTTCAGTATTGGCTGCTTGCCATAACCTTCTCCCCGTAGAGATCTCTATACCAATCATCTTGATAATTTATCTTTGAAACACTCAGGTCTCTCTGTTAAAGTTCACTTAGCAGCCATAAAGGGCCACAGAGTTTTTCTCCATTCTATGGTAACCACATTTTTGAAAAGGTTAACACCTGTTCCTACCTGTTGAAGGTTTTTCCCTGAGACTTAGATGTAGTTTGACTGTCTTTGCTGACGCCTCCATTTGAGTCTGTCGTCTTGTTCTTTGTATCATTTGTCTATTGACATGGAATTCTTGGTAATCATTACCTCTGCTCTCAGGACGAGGCAGATCCCAGCACTGATCGCAGGACCACTGTATAGCACCTTCCATAAGGATAGCTAGTCTTTCTCCACACCCCAAATTTCTACCTGAAGCATCTTGTATTTCCATTAAATCAGTTTATTCACCTACCAGTGTTCTTTCCAAGACATCACTTGTCTTCTGCAAAAACTAAACTTCACATTCTGTATGTTTTAAGAACTCTCTCCTTACTGTCTGAATAAGAAAAAAACAAACCACAAATGATCGAGATACTTTGTTTCTTTTGGTGACAAATCCAGAAGCCAACACACAGACTCTCAAAATAGGTGTCAGACTATATTAACTTTTTCAGTTAATAGGAAATCCTAACTTCACCATCTCACATCAAAGCACATTCTTCTAGAGCTCAGGCAGCCTCCTTGCCAGTAGGGATCTCTATACTTGAAGTCTGTATAGCGTCTACTTGAAGTTCAGTACATATCTTTACAAGATATTATTTTCTCATGTTGGCCTTTAGATCTGATGCCCAATTTGGCAAGGGAGTTTTACAGTCCTTGTTTAGATAGGACTCTGCGTGCCAATCAGAGTGAGATCTGTATGAAAAATACCTGAAGAAGAAAAAACGGTTACTTACCTTAGAGTAATTGTAGTTCTTCCAGATGTTTTGTCCACCTGGATCCCATAATCCGCCCTCCTTCTTGCTAATGCAGAGTCCTTTAAACTTGGGATTCTGTATTGGTGAAGGAACTGAGTGGAAGTTGGGGCTGCCCTGCCCTTTGTGCCCTTGAATGAAGGGCTCATGGATATGCAAGGTGCATGAACAGCCCAACGAACATTGCTAGTCCAAAGAATCCAATCTCATGCACACAGGGTGCTTGTGTACCAAGAGTGGGATCCACATGGACAGAACATCTCAAAGAACCAAATTACTGTAAGGCAAGTAACTTTTTTATTGTTGTGGTTAAAATTCCTTTTTATTGTATTTCTAAACACATGACATGTTATTGTATTAACGTTGTTGCATTACAGGTATTATTTGGTGCCAGGTGCTGGAAGGGAAGCTGGATGAAGCAGAGCATCAGCTGGAATTCTTAAAGGAAGTTCAGCAGTCCATTGGAAAATCTGCGGTTAGATATAGAAATACAATTGTTTACTGTATTTTTGTTCTTCATTTCTACACATGTTCCGGGCACATTGCATACCTTCAAAATTCTGCGCAGTTATGCTGGTGTAAATCCAGGGTAACTTCATTGACTGACAGAATCTGTCCCACAAACATTAACAAAATATATTAAATCAATCTTCAGAACTAGACTGCCTAAAAACTTTCCCAACTCCATTTCCCCACACAATTCATCCTCGAGAAAAGCAGGAAGGGACCGCTAGGTCTTGAAGGATGTTCTGAAGACTACCAAATGTTCCAGAATCAAGGAACCCTCACAGAAAACACTACTGCCAGCCTCCTTTTATTTAATCAGGGTTGTTAGCTCTAGCACAATTATTGCAATTGCTTTTGTATCACATGGGGAAAGACAGTCTTTTAAGCAGATAGTCCCTGCCATTTAGGAGTTTATAGGTCAAAATCAATATCAATCTTCATCTGGAAATTGATTAGCAGCCAGTGCAAACCCTGGAACACAAGTGTAACATGCACCCAGTGGGGGATGCTTCTTAACAAGTGGACCACATTCTGCTCTAGCTGTAGTTTCTGAATGCTTCTAAGGTGCAACACCATCTGTGCTTCAGTCATGCAAGATGCTGAGCACTCCAGCCCCAGTCTAGCAAAGCACTTAAAGCACATACTTATCTTATGATTTAGTAGTGTTTTAAACTAATTTGATACTTATTTGCATGGATGTAAATGACTATACAAAGCCCTAAAGGTCCAACATTTAGACAAGGGATGGGATAGTTCCCAAAATAAAACACACAATTTGATGTAAACAGATGTAAGTAGCCTAAAACTATCTTCAGATGATCACTCTGTCTTTGCACTGAAATCCACTGGAGCTATGTGCACTTATCCAAAGACAGCATTTGTCCTAATGTAGTAAAATGTGGAATTTTCCTTTTTACAGGTTCTAGTTTATCTTCAGGCAGTTATTGCTTCAAAGAAAAACAAGAATGAACCAGTTGCAACTGCCCTTTTGAATGAAGCTGCAGAACTTCATTTTTCTGCTTTGCACGGCCTTCCTCTGAGCATGGAATACTATGAAAAACTAAACCCCATGTTCCTGATTGAAATCGTGAAGGAATATTTAGTCTTCTGTCCCAAACAGGTGAGAAATATTTTAGATAAAATATGTAGTATTCATTTATTGTCTGTTGATATTTAACTTTGATATTGTAATTTAGAAATCTAGATGTTTAATTTCTCCAGAATACATGTCCATAACTTTCGTTGAACTTAAGAGATGATATATGTAGAAATGGAGGAGAGACTAGACACCAATATGTTTTCCTTTTGAAATGGTACTCTGTATACTATACTTCTGGAAAATATGTAGTAAGGACAATCTAATTCTTAATTTTTCTTAGCCTAGGTCACCTGGTCAAATTGTATCTCCTTTTCTTAAACAAGCAGCTATAATTTTGAATCCAGTGGTTAAAGCTGCTCCTGGTATGCTGGAGCCTCTTTATCTAATGGCACAAGTCAAATATTTATCAGGTAAGACTAGACCATTTTGTTAAATCCAAAGAAAAAGAAAAATGTACATGCTAAGAAATGATTAGGCTTAAGACTCATTGACAGCCAGAACACATTCTGAAAATTTGGATTAAACTGAGTTAGTACCTTTTGATATCAGGGGGTAGCCGTGTTAGTCTGTATCTACAAAAACAACAAGGAGTCTGGTGGCACCTTAAAGACTAACAGATTTATTTGGGCATAAGCTTTCATGCATGTACATGCCTC